CGCGGGGGCATGTCTCACTGCACACAGCACCAGCTGCAGACTTAACCACATGTGATTGACCCACTATAGACTTTCAGGAACAGGAGAAGGGCTTTTCCAGCATTTGTAAGCACACTCACACTGTTCACAGTCACAGGAAGGACTGAGAAAGTGCTGATATTACATTACATATTGTAACTACTAGTTTTATGAAATTCATGCTCTCTTCTACAAATGTTGCACATATACAGGTATTATCAGAAAGATATTGCAAGAATACAAAAATAATGTATATATATTAGGGCTGAGCCAGTCAAGTCAACTGCTGTCATCTCCCAGACAATTAAGTCAGTTGCAGCCACTTCTGAGACTGCAGAATCAACCTCCGTCCTGATATTTCTGTGCCAGCCAAGCCCACTCCAGTCATTCCAGAGCCAGTCAAGCCCGCTACAGTCATTTCCGAGACGGCCAAGTTGGCAGCAATCAAGTCAGTTCCAGTCAATTCTAAGTCTGAGTCAACTTCTGTCATCCACGAATCAGTCACTTCCACTTCTGTTATTCAAGAGCCAGTCAAGTCAACCATCAGCATCTCTCAGTCAGTCGAGTCAGTTCCTGCTACTTCTGAATCTGCAGTCAACCTCTGTCTTTCCAGAATCAGCTGAGTGCGCTCCTGTTATCCCTGAGTCAGTCAAGTCAACTGTTGTCCTTCAGTCAATTAAGCCTGTTCCAGACACTTCACAGTCTGCCAGGTCAGTTTCAGCCACCACTGTATCGACAAAGTTCACTGCAATTCCGCTTGAGTTGGCCGAGTTAGCTACAGATACTACAGAGGCGGTCAAGCACATAGTATCCACCTGTCAAAAGAGGAGGAAGAGAAGAGCCCGTTCTGTGCTGTCTACTGTCCTTCCTTCTCAAGTCCCAAGTCCTATAGTTCCAGAGGAATCTAGTCTAGTGAATTCTTCTAAACTGCCTGCCATTCATGTCAAGTCAGGAATGTGTGTACTTGCCAGTCATGTCATGCCCTCAGAGACAGTTTTTACCAGCCCTGTCATGTCCACAGAGACCTTCTGGGCTGTTGTCTATGCCTGCTCTCATAGCCATGGAGGCCGTTCCCAAGCAGCAAGTTGTTAGGGCCACAGACGCCTTTTCTGAATCTCTTGCCAGTGTTGTCATGTTCCTGCCAAACTATGAAATAGTATGAAATTCCTGAAAGTGAAGCTCCCGAGTCCACTCCAGTCCAGGAGCCCCCATAGCCTACTCCAGAGAGAGCAGTTCCCAAGCCTGCTTTAGAGGAAGTTGGTACAGAGCCCGCTCCAGAGGAAAATGTAGTTTTCAGGCCTGCTCCAGCTCCTGAAAGAGCAGTCGCAGAGCCCACTGCAGAGAGAGCAGTCCCAGTGTCTGATTTAGCCCCTGAGCACAGTCCAGTGTCGGTTCCAGCCACTGAGGATGTTTTTAAGTAAATTTCTAAGTCTGATCCTGCTACCCATATGGACATCCCAGTACCTGTCTCTGAGCCTATTCCCAAGACATCCCAAAACTCCTTCCCTGCCAATTCAGTCTTTGCCCCTAAATCTGTCACTGTTACCAAGCCCAGTTGGAAGTACAGACTAGTTAGGCCGTCCCTGTATCTACAGGTGCCTCCAGTCAAGTTCCCATCCCTCCCTTCCCACCCTCTGTGTTTCCTAGTTATGGTTCCCCAAGGCCGGCACCTCCTTGGTCAGCTTTGAACTTTTTGCCTGGTCCTGTTCCCACCCGTTCTCTGTGTTTTCTGGCCAGTTTGGGACTTCCATGTTTACATGTGTACTGTTATTATGTATATAAATACACACACATGCATGTATATATTTAAAAAATATATGTTATGTTTATATATAAAATATTATATTTATATATAATATAAATTATATATGTGACCCTGGACCACAAAACCTTAAGTCTAAGTCGCTTGGGTATATTTTTAGCAATAGCCAAAAAAAACATTGTATGGGTCAAAATGATCGATTTTCCTTTTATGCCAAAATCATTAGGATATTAAGTAAAGATCATATTCCATGAAGATATTTTGTAAATGTCCTACCGTAAATATATCAAAGTTTAATTTTTGATTAGTAATATGCTTTGCTAAGAACTTAATTTGGACAACTTTAAAGGCAATTTTCTCAGTAATTAAAAGTGATTTTTTTTGCACCCTCAGATTCCAGATATTCAAATAGTTGTATCTCGGCCAAATATTGTCCTATACTAACTAACCTATACTAACCTATACATCAATAGAAAGCTTATTTATTCATTTTCAATTTATAATAAAATTGACCCTTATGACTGGTTTTGTGGTCCAGGGTCACATATATATATTTAAATATATATGTGTGCATTTATATATACATAATAAATATACACAGTACACACACATTCTGTATATTAGGTAAACAAACTTGGAGAGCCGCTTCTGGGACGGTTCAGAAACGTGCTGGTATAATCCCAACACAAGCACTGACTAGAGCTGCTGCGATCAGCTCCGGTTCCCGTGTCTGAGCCGTGACGCCCCGCAGATTTGTGCAGAGCGGAACGCAAGTGAACGCAATCATTCCTTCCTCTGTACTACTAGTTTTACCGCGAATAAACATGACTGAACATCTCATGCCTCATGTAATTGCTCAATCAGTGTTTCAACCGCGGAAAGACATCAACAATACAGCATGGAAATAAAATGTCACGTAGCATTTAATTTACCTCTCTGTAAATAACAATGAATATCACTTCATATATCACTACATCGTAAAAATGTGGCAGAAATCAAACGCGCAAAACCGAAAATGTAATTTAGTCATTATAGGCGAATTTACATCAAGTTCAGTCATTTACACAGCCAAGGACGAGCACCACCTTACACTCAAGACTAAAGGAGGCGCTATGCACTTTCAGTCAGAACTAATTGAGTGTATGCAAGATTCATCAGACTTTTTAATGAGACTTAGCATAGAGAGAGATTAAAAGCTAGTTTCCACTGGTGGTCTTCCATTCCACTGAGCATTCTAATTGGATGCAAAACGTAACGTCCAAACAGTGTGTTGAACCATGTCTTGCCGGGAAGAATCTGTCAAATTTATATTTATCAGAGCACTGACTGAACTTTCACAGTGGATAAATGCAGAAGCACAAAATGACAATAAATACTGCAAAACAATCGCTTAATTTATAAAGACGGCTAAATGATTTCTGCAGCCTTCCTGGCTTACTACACTCTTTTAACCTTTAGTAACCTTCCACCTACTAAATTTATAAATTGAGTTTACATCAGGGCATTTTAGTAAGCAATCACTTCACAACCATTTTAATTTTTTCATGGCCATGGGACATAAAATGTCCTGTGGAGTAAAAAGGGTAAAAATTGCTACATGGCAGCACTCTGAGATGCAATCAAACAGATAACCTCTCTGTTTTGAACAAAGAGATTGAAAGATACACTTGTTTTTACCGGCTTGATGGAGACCTTTCATGTCTGGAGATGTTTTTCAGATTTTTTTCTGAGGTCATTGACATTAACAAACAACTCAGCCTCCTCATTTTATTAGAATCGTGCCATTCACTTATCAGACATGGTTGGTTAAAAATGTCAAATATATATATATATATATGTATATAAGTCAACTGTCAGTCAATTTCAATATCTGACCTATAGGGAGCCTTAATCAACCTTTATTCTGAGAAACCTATATGTCAGCCTAAAGTCATTTGCCGTTTTAGAACTGTTGTTTGCCAGATCGTATGATATGACCCCAGTGAGATCTCGGGTAAAAGCTAAAACACACTGTTCCACAACAACTGTCAGACTGTATAATGTACATTTTAGCTAAGACTTTGGTCACAGCTGACAGCATTGACTGGGCAAAGTCAACAGCCTGTGTCCATTCTGACATCTTAAAATCTTAAATTGAAATGGTATCTTACAAACCAAAGCAAGACTTTGTGTTGGAAAATCTTTGCTTGAAAATATTAAGACATTCATGTTCTCTTAGACACACATATATTACCAACTGCTGTTACTATTGATCCTTCATTCAATTTTGCCCTATAAGCAAAGAAATACTTTATGATCCCCAAAATTTGTCTCCTACGACACAATAATTACAAATAAAATGTACAGTGAGCATCCAAATTAAAAGGTTTCTTGGGTCTACCACTAGTGATATTTACACATTTATAGAATCCTCTAATAATCAGCATGATAATGTTGAATCAATACAAAATAACATATATCTCTGTAATGATCTGGTCACGCCAATGCCTTGTCAATAATAGCATTCTGCTTGAGAGTCTAGAAAGTCAGATAAATCAATATGAAACAGTATATAAGGACTGTTCCCTGTTTAATGTTTTTGGATGGTGTGCTGGCCAAATTATAAATCACAGGATTGAATTCCAAATGGAGGAGTACCTTTCTTCTGACAAATATATTTTGCCATTATTATCATCATCATTACTCATTTTGCCAGACATTTGACAAACCTAAAGGATGCTTAAAATACGCTTGAGCAAGTTTTTTTTTTTTTTAAATTACTGTCTTTTCTGATTTCTTTTACAACACCGCCACAAGGCAAAATGTCTGAGTTCATGGTCTGTAGATGCTTTTTTATACTCAGGGGAATATTCCTATTGTCTGCATGTCACGACAAAAGTCAGAGTTAAAATGGAGACAAATGTAGCATCTCACTGCCTTGTATGATGGGAGGCTATGCTCGAAGGCTATTCTCATTGTCCTTCCTGTGACCACTACTAAATTACCACCACTAAACTAACCATTATTTCTCCTGAGCACACAGTCTACATGTGAAAGAACCTAGGAGGGTGGGCAGGCTAACGCTCAGCTCCATAGAGCCCCTGGTCAGCCCTCAAGGCTGTGAAAATGCTCACTGAAGATTTTGCAAATCTATCTGCAATGGGAAAATAATGAGAAAAATCCCAGGGGGTGCTCTGTCAAAAGTAACTCAGGCAACAACGCAACAGGACTCAAAAGAGGCCATCCAACCTGCTGTGAGCACTGGTAGTCATCTTAAACAGCAAATGCTTAAAGACGCCTTAATATTTTCAATTTAATTGTAAATAGTGACAATGTGGGTAAGCTTGACTTACATGCTTTGTAAGAAGCTGCTTTCCCCCCAAAAAAAGTTAACACTGGGAGTGTAAAGGGAGGCCATGAGCTGTTCGCCATCTGTAATAAGATGGCCGTCACAGGTGCACGTTAGTCGAGACGTTGCAGGGCTAATTCATCACTCTCAGTTTCTCCTGGCAACAGCTACATCTTTTACTCACTACTTATTTGTGCAGGATTCCCCTCTGGACATCTCTGATAGATACCATGATATACAGTATGGCAAATCGCCACCTCTATTATAGTTTTATCAGACTGTAGCTCAACTATTGGAAAAGCTGCCGGCCTACAATGTTTTTTTTTTTTATAATTTCTGCTTGCAAGCCAAAAATGCACACACAATGCACACATATATTTTCTGGTTCTAAAAATGAGTATATAACCCTCGTGATTATACATTAACATATTATCTCAATGATATGTGATTGTCCTGAGCTGACTGTCAGTGTATAAGATTGTCTCTTGAAAAACTGCTAATCATTTTCTGATTTTCTGTAAAGCAACCTTGCATACTAGAACATTTAAAATTGCTATATAAATGTGACATATGAAAAAAAAAAGTATTATTGTTTTATTAAAAAATACTTACATTTAGAATAATTAATCTTTAGGTCACATCATAATTTCATTTTTCATCTAAACAGGTCTACAATACTGTTGGGGTGACAGAAAGAATGTTTTTATTTTAATCCTACCTAAACTATTGTTCCACTGGCATTTCTGTTAAGATAAGCTGTCATTGGATGTTGTTTACTGATGATGTGATAGCATTTTTTTCCTGCAACACGTTGGGCACCTGCTGCTTTACTTGTATTCATGAAACATGCCAATAATTCAACGTCAACACCTCCCAAGGGTACAGCAAAGATTGAGAGGTTGCCAAATCTCCGAATATTACAAATAATGCATATATATCTACCTTGAATCAAAACAATATCTAGCTCTGATATATGTGGCCTTTAAAAACGGAGAATTGTTTTGAGAATTATTTTGAAATTATGACGTACATACATTTAAGTTGAATACGTGGTCTCATTACTCAATTGTCTTATTACTGACTTCATTTGCGTAAAAAAAAAATGACAGATTTGCAGACTGATGGAAATAAGAACAGTCTGTCAAAGAAATCTGTCAAGACACAACACAAGTCTTATACAAACCCTATAAGCTATTTTCGTCAAGATAAACAGCAGCTCCATGCCACAAGTCCCTTGTTGTCAAAGCTGAATGTGAAAATGAAATGTGGGCGTATATTATCTCAAGACATTAAACATAGCATAGACTTCTTATGTGCACAATTATCGTTCGTGTACGGAACTTCCCACACCTTGTCGTCGAAGTCTGCGTTTCCTGAGGCCGAAGATTCGCACTTTGGAGAAGATGTCGACCAGGTTCCCATTGCAAAGCCCTTTATTCTTATTGGGGCTTTTTCTCCTTCTGTTGGTGGATGGTCGGTCTATATGCTGCTCCCGTGCCTGTCTCTTCTGGCGGATCAAACCGCTGGCAATCGCCGCTGCCATGTCTCAAAAACAGGGCTGTTGAACTCCTTACACACAAAGCACACACAACAACAACAAACCGCCCGATCGGTCTCAATTATTGTCCCATTTTTGCGACTGTTTGTGTGCTCTGCCCTCTGAAATGCACAGCTGATGATCAAAGATATCCACACATCACGACTGGAGAAATAAGACACTGAATTAGCATAATGAATACAAGGGTGAAGTGTTACTTCAACTGTCCGTATTTCACATGTTGTCCAATTTTCATTTCGAAGTCACGCGGCTCGCAGATTACTTTTCATTCCTGATTTCACAATGCTTTTCGGAAAATGATTATCACATGAGTTGCCCGGCTCCTCCGAAATATAGAATATGAAAATATATTCACGGCACGCCTGAGCGTCTCTCTGATCCGTCACTTTCCTTCCTTTATCTCTGACCCGGTCCTGGTAAAATTCAGCACCCTGGGCAGCGACGTCCACTCCCGGAGTCTGAACAAACAAAACGTTTTTCGTTCTGAGCTGTCAAGCGGAGAAACGCGACCACCTTCGTCTCCCAGGTGGAGCCCTGCGACTACACATATTCATATGTCTCACATATTTACCAAGTTTAGCAGATATCCACGCCAGTTCCGTTCAAACGTCCACTCATCTTGAGAATAACCGACGGCGTAACGACGGTGAGTTGAGGTAAGTTTGAACGAAGGTGTTTCTTGTTGATAAGGGATCTCCTCAGACGATCACTCCCCATTCAGTCTCATGTTCTAGGTCGCGTGGTTATTCAATAACGATGTGCGTTTTTTCCTGATCTAAAGCAGCATGTCTTCTGAGGGGAAAATGTAAGCAACACTGAGCGGCTCCGGTGAGGATGACGTCTACCCGGTGTGACAGGAACGAACAAATAAATAAACTCGAATAAAAAAGTATTTGCCCGAAGCGGGAGCATACAAATGCGCAGCATAAGTGCCAACGTTCGCCAGGAAAGAAAACGTATTCAAGAAATGCTCCTCGTCCTCTTCATCCTCCAGCTCGTGCTCATTTAGCGTATCCAAATGTTTGGAGCGAGTGAGGCGCACGCGCTCCCCTCCTCAGCCTCCACAGATCAACGGCATCAACAAGTCTTGACGACCACGCGCTTCCCGCCTCAGCCTCACAGATCGTCAACAAGTCTTAACGACAAACTCCTCCTTTGCCATCGTTTCCGAGACGTAAAAAACCCACCCTTCACTTGATGTCCATATAGATCTGTATTTTCTGTTTACGAGCTGAGAAGAGCCGATGACAACATTTAGATATTTAAAAATATATATCTAATAGAATTGACCTAATAATGTTTATAGAAGCTAGTTGGTAGGTGCCAGAAATATTTATAAATAAATATAGACATATAGAAATATATTCAGATGGCCAAATTTATAATTAGGCTATTCGAATTACAAATAACAGAAAAACACGTATTTTAAAGTGTGTGTATTAACGACAATCAAGCAATATGTTTTTTGTTTTGGTTTTTGAGACAGAAAGCCTGAGACTTAAATGTCTAAGAAATTAATTTCACTCAACTCCACCGACACGCCCCACGAGAGCTACATGAAGCAGAACTAGCTACATCACACCTCTGAGGTGCTATTGAGACCACCAGTGCGTTAGACAAACACACCTATGTAACGCATTGCATGGATGAGTGCCTACTTTTTGCTATAGGCCTACATTTATCTGTCGCCTGTTTCTTTAATCATATGGTAATGAGTGTTGCGATAAGGGCTGGGGGTGCTAATTTAATATCATGCCCCAATAACACCAAAATGAGTATTTTCTCATTTAGTTTAATATCACCAGAGAAACACAATCACAGAGGAGGAATAAAAAAAAAAGAAAAACTCAAGAGGGCCATCTGCTGTTTGTCGCTGCAATGAAATTCAGTCTTTCATCCCCCTGCTGTTTTTCAACCCCTTCCACTAAATTGGACTGGCAATGTAACTCTGGAGTGGTATTTCCAGACCAGACACTGCTTAAACAGATTAAAGGGAAAATACAAAAATATATGGAACATGCAATTAAATCTAACAATATATAGACCTACGTTACATGCATAGACTTTCGCAAAAGCCATTTTGCATTAAAATGGGGGGAAATTACCTTATTAGCATACCTGAATAAACCATACCAGCACGGATATACTAGATTGCTAAAATAATGAGAGCTTAAACTGACTGCATCATTGCCGGTGGAGCAGCCACTGCAGTTTGCGCATCCGCCAGCAGCGGACACTGTCAGCTTAACTATGTCTCTATTTATTTACAATAGCACAGACAGATCACTAGGTTTCATGACTAAGCCATTAACATAAAGACATCTATAATTCATTTACATTCAAATGTTAATATATTTGAAAATGTATGAATCAAAATTACTTTTTGAATGGCTTATATATGAAAGTTGTTAGTATATGCAAAAAAAAAAGACAAGCAGTAACGTATTAAAGCCTAAACAGAGGTATTACAGTCTAACATCACTTTGTGCACAGGAAAAGAACAAGAGGTTATGAAAAATTAAAAAAAAAAAAAAGTAATCAATGAATCTGCGGTACAAACTACTAAAAAAAAAGACAGAAAGGACATGCGTAGCGTATTTTGAGTTCCTAGCTGAGTCTCAGTACTGAAATGAATACAGAAATGGTTGGAAATTGATCTTTTCGCTTCAGAAGCATTTACTCAAAACAAAAGGAAGCGTTCAGACCGCAACTGGACTACACAGCAAAAACCCATGACAAAAAGACAGACCAAATAGGGAACAGGAATTTAAATTCTAAATCAACTTGCACACACAAGTGATTACTGTATGCCTTTAAAAAACGACAACTGCACTGTCATCAATATGAGAGTGTGCACATACCTACATGCTTTCTCCTTCTGAACGTATGAGACTCCATAGCAAACCCATTGCACATTCAGCCAAGGTAACAGCGCATTTCCCTGCCTGGCTGTCAATGACACGGCCCCATTTATAGGGTCTATACTCACAGATAACATTATTAGTAAGATCTGCCCCAAACAATTGCTGTTCAGCCAGCTGAGGCAATCTCTGAGGCTTCAGAGGCAAATTTTTAAATAACAATGTTTCACTTTGAACTTTTAATGATGATGAGCTGAAATGAACTATTTTGCTCAAGTTTACCTAGATTTTAATGTGGAGGCACCCATGCGAACACAACAGCACAGCTCAAAGATCATAAGAGAACAGATGTGTAATTCAGGACAAGCACTTTTGATGTAGAACTAATTAACTGCTACATAAATGTGTCAACTCCAGCCTCCCACGCTGTCCTCCACCTGGTCTTTTATGAACATTAGCTGACAAGATGAATGAAACATGAAAAGTCATTCTAGTAAATGCCATTCGATACAATACATGCAAAATCAAAGAGAATGGAGAGCTAGCCTTTAAAAAAAATAACATGAGATGACTGCAACTTCTGTTTAAATGCAGCGCTCTGAAGCTGTCCACATATTAAAGGGAAAGAGACGGATGAGATAGCAATGCCAGGGAATAAGAAATACAAATTCACCAAAGCCCAGTGGAGCGAAAAGAAAAGGAGAACTACATCTTACTTCAAGAAATGTCACAGCAGACATAGACACCGAATAAACAAGTCGATCATTTGTATCACTATGGAAGGCTTCAGGGCCGTCTGGCTTTTATTAGCTGTCATGATGACAGCAGTTGTAAATTGGACTTAACATCATATGCGCTGAGACAAGAGGAAAACAGGAGAATTAGCACTTTGTTTAAATCAAATTGTTTCACACTGTTGGGGTGGAAGAGAGAGCTTAATTTAATTCAGGAGATAGTAATGATGTTTGGTTAGTGTTGACATCTGGGTTTAATCGGCTTGGTGAAATGTCACCGTTCTGAGAAGATGATGACACTGAGGAAGACACTGAATGTGGTGGTGAATGTAGTGTTTTGCAGAGAAATCTCGCCATGCCATACTGTAATGGCTTAGGCTAATAAAGCAGACTTGAACAAATCACAGGATTAAAAGGAAAATGAGAAATGAGTTTTCTACGTAATGGCAGAAAATGACTTTCTCTCTCATATCGAGGGGGTTATTGGATATTAAAAGAGAGGCATTTGAAATCTCATGCTCTCATTTTCCTGATAGTTTCTTTTCTTCTGCTACAAATTTATAGACAGCTATTCTGAGTCATAAACAACACTAAAGCAATATTATTGTAATTCTGGTGATATTTTGTCTAAAAAAGATTAAAAGAGTATTTTCTGGATGACATTGCTATATTCCTCATACTATTTTGTATGCAGTATGTTTACTGTGCACAGTTTGAAAAAGTTCTGTCTGCATGGAAGGACCTACTACATTTGGCAAAATATGCAGTACACATGCAGAGGACACTGCGTGGGATTTTGTAGCCCACAATGCAGTGCACTCAACTTCACCTTTTACTTCCAATGTGATTAACAAACCAAAAGTAATATTAGGATTTTAATATCTTTAATTTTGAGTCACTATTTAATAAGACTGCCAAAAGTGAAGACATGTTTACACAAAACATTAAAAACACAAAATAATCATATTTTCCTATACTGTTTTAAACATTTATTGTTGCATTCTGTTTCTACATTTTTAATCTGTACATATTTGTCTATAAAAATTGTATGCAGTATACACTGCAAAATAAACTCTAAAAATGAATTTAATCTGACTGTATTGCAAAGAATACATCAAACCTGATTCTCTCACTTTAAGTAAAATTCAGAAACTGATTTGTATAGCTTGTATGTTACTCTGTTGTATGAAAAAGATCAAAGTGACGAGTCAGTATCTAAATCAAGCTAAAAGCCAATGTAAGGCGAGCACCTGTGATAAATCAAATTGCAGATTAATTAGACGAGAACAAAGGGGATCTAGCAAATCAATCAGTGGTGGACAGTAACGGAGTAGCTTTACTTCGTTACTGTACTTAAGTACATTTTTCAAGTATCTGTACTTTACTGGAGTAGTTTTATTTTGAGTAACTTTTACTTTTACTTCACTACTTTTACTCAAGTACTTGATTTGTGTACTTCGTCCACCACTGAAATCAATACAAGTCTGTTTGAGCTTGAGGGTTTTGCCATTAAGCCTGGCATTTAAATATCAACAACAGATTTCATTACAGAGGTGAGAATGTCAATAGTATCCTAATGTAGTAAAATTAGCAAGGATGCTTCCCTGTAAAGAACCATAAATAATCAACAAATTACAGCCATTTTATCATGGGCCAAAAAAACATTTAAAAAAATGAATTTTGTTCTACATATACACAGAAACAAAAAAACATTATTTATTTTAGATGAATTATCATTATTTAATAATTGTTAATAATTATTGGTGTTCATATAGGCTTAGGGATTTCAACATCATGAACTGTATCTGCTTTTAAATCTATCTTAAAAACGTATTTGTTTGATAAGGCTTATAATCTAAATTAACATTCTCCTGCCTTACATTTTTTTTATTATTTTATTATGTTTTTATTATACTTTGTGTATTTCTAAGTAAATGTGTTTTTGTGTTTTTCATTTTATTTTTTTGTAAAGCACACACATTGGACAACCATGGGTTGTAATTAATGGTGCTATATAAATTAATTTGCTATTGCCATTGCCATTGCCAACTTCAGAGTTATGCTGTTACTTTTCTTAGTGATTGGACTTACAATCTCGTAACCACTAAAACCCTAGTAACCACTGAAAACACCTTATAGCAACTGCACAGCAATTACTACAGTCCTGGCAATGACCCAGAAGATCCAAAGAGTTTTGCAGAGCCAAGCAACACAAATTTTACTCTGAAAATGTACAAATCTAGCTTTTTTTAATACTGGCACATGGCACCAGTCTAAGATGCTCAGTATGTGTGAACACTGGTAATTCTGTCTTACATGAAAACCTTGACACCTTCAGAAGTGTAAAGTGGCATTGTGATTTCCTAAGATAATTTTCAGTTGTGATTTCTCACTGAAAGAAGTGAGGA